GATGGCCGTACAGACCATGTTGCGATACAGTGCAGATAATTTTTCCGCCCGACACTTGGCATCTGCGATGTTTGTGAAGCCAGATCCCTGGAAAGCTAGTCTTGCCGGAGTTCAATACTTCGGTTCCCGATCAATTGAAGTCTTATCTCTTATCATCTCTTGCTCTCAGCATGAATCAAGCCGGTTGCAAAGGGAACTCGGAATGCTGATCTTGGATGTTCGTAACATTTCGTGCATGTTTATGCTACTTTTTGAACATCTTTTCCCTGGTATTGCTTGTAGTGTGATCGACGGACTGAAAGCTGGAATGCTCTTATCATGCCGGGGTAAAGACATTCTAAGTAGCCTGAAGGGTACCAATTTTTCAGCCCATCACTTAAACCAGCCCTTCTTGATGCATTTGCGCTACCAACATTTTGGAAAACTGGGACGATTTGTGCTTGACCGGAGTTCTCGAAGTGCTTGCAGAAGGCTAAAGAGATGCCATGTGGAGAATGTGAAAGCTGGGAGTGCCAGGGCCACGGAAAAGACCACACGCCGCCCTGAAGAAAGCAATGTTGCTAAACTTGCTGCCATTTCAACAGGAGTTCACTTTTCGAATCAACACGTGCAAGTCACGGACGTAGGCCGGCCCACTCAGGGAGGTTCCCAAACTTGGAGCTCCCAAAAAGGACCTTTTCCAACCTTGCTTTAAGCCAACATTCACCGTGCCACTGAGCAAAATCCGAAACCGAGGAGAGCAAAAAGAAAGAAGACATGAGAATACCGTCCACGAGAAATCATTTCGTCAGAGAGATCGGAAGATGTCCAGGCTTTCAACATCTTTAAACCACGGTTCAGACGGTTTGAGTCATTGCAAGTCCTATGAAACAGAGCCTGAATGCAGCAGCGCCATCATGAAGTCTTACCACCAGGGGGAACTTGAGCTGCGCTCAAAGCCTCATTGTTCATTTGTAGCAGGGGAGAGGCAATAAGGACCTCGGCATACGCAAAGCCCTGGTGTATGTAAGCTTGTGTAGGCTATAGCGTAACAATAATATCCAATCGTGGCAGCTGCATATCTGGCCGTGTAAGCAGCATTTCAAGTGTACATATCTACTTTTTCCTTTGCCGTGGCTAGCTGGACGTGCCAAATTGACCGGAGCTCAAATTTGTTCCGCTTTCAATTTCGGTTCATTGGTTTGCTATCTTTTTATGTAAACCAAGTACGTAAGCTGTGGCGCTTCCGCCCTCCCTTCCAGGTGAGATCTGCCGCAGGGCGTGTCCATTTCTTTGGTCGCCTCTGTAGGTGCCGTAGAGTCCTTGGGAGCACCTAAAGCCCATCCGCAGAAACTTGAGGGCAAAAGGGGCACGACAGACTTCAACACGGGGAGCGCTGTGCGTCCCTTCGCCCTGCAAAGTGTCTTCATATGTTTTCATGATTTGTGGCAAGGTCAAGACTGGCATTGTTACTCTACTTGCGAGAGGTCCATATCTTCACTGACAAGGTTTTGTCCGTTCTTACCGATCATGTCTAAGGGTTCGATGACAGTCAACTGAGCCATTCATACGTGACCTAGCAAACCGAAAGCGAACGGCAATTGGCCACAAGTGCTTGCAGAAGGCTCCTAAAAACTCCAGGATTCATTCCTTGTGTTTTACCATGCTGTGAGCCAGGCAGAAAACTCTGATAGCGACATGCCTGTGTGTAAACCACGCTGGTGCAAGGTTCTGCAAATTTCCTTCGGTTTGCAACGTTTCAAATAGCGCTTTGTCATGAAAATGCATTCTTACACACTGCATTTATTCGCATTCCACAAAGACAAGCTCTGTTGGGTTGTTGAGCGCGACAAAGGCATGGGCAACCAAAGCCTTAGCTGTGATGCTCAGGGAAGGCAACAGACTTTTTGCAGGAGCATGCCTTGCAAACCTGAAATTTGTGTTGTATCGCCAATGTATCGCGCATTTTACATGTGCGAATGACATGTTGCCACAGAAGTCGCAAGGTGAATTTTGGTGCGACTCGTCCTTGCTGTTCATTAAAGAGAGTCTTTTTTGCCTTTTGATTTCACCTTTGATCTTTGCAGCTGCCCGGCCAAAAGAGGATCAGCGATTGCAGTTCTCACCTGCCAGCTGCCTGTCACATTCCCTAGCGGGCCCGACATTGCCGAACCGCATTTGTTGGCATCAAATCCATTTCGATGTCGAGACAGCCCTTGTTTTCGCAAGTCAAAGACATGGCATCCCGCCCCTCATTCAGGATCCCAGGGTCCCAGGCCATGTTCGCCGCATCCAAGTGGATTTTATTCGGCCCTTTGACCAGAGTTCTCCAAGTGCTTGCAGAAGGCTAAAGAGATGCCACATGGAGAAGTTGGAAAATGCAAAAGCTTGGAGTGCCAGTGCGAATAAAAACACCACAAGCCGCCCTGAAGAAAGCAATGTTGCTAAACTCGCTGCCATTTCAACAGGAGTTCACTTTTCGAATCAACACGCCAGGCTGTCTGTTGCTCGCTCAATCACCTTGATGATTCAGCAACCCCATTGACGAGTCTGGCTGGCAGCCCGCTCGCCTAGCAAAGCTTCATTCAATACAAGTCACGGATGTAGGCCAGCCAGCCCGCTCAGGGCTCCCAAACTCAGAGCTCCCGGTTTAAGTCAGCCTCTACCGCTGGTTTCTTATTTCTGGTGCAACATGCGTTTTGGCATTTCTGTCAGCCATGAGTGCCGCTCTGATCAGATTCTGTTTCTCCGTGCCTGATGGCTATGGCGAGTACGTTGACCGAGGGTGGATTTGGTGCCATGCCAGTGGGCAAAATCCGACGAAGATGTCTAGGCTCCAAGCAAGTCCAGACCACCATTCAGAGGGTTTGAGTCATTGCAAATCCTACCTGGAAGGGACTAAAAGCAGGCCCTTCGACATTTGTCTGCGCTGCATTTTCACCTTATGAAGTTTTCCCCCAATACCCAATCGCGTAAGCCACATATCCTGCCGTGTAAGAAACATTCCAAGTGTGCATATCCACTTTTTCCTTTGCGGCGGCTAGCTAGACATGCCAAATTGATCTGGGCCAGGGCTCAAATTTGTTCAGCTTTCAATTTTGGTTTATCGGTTTGCTATCTTTTTCCGTAAACCAAGTGCGTAAGCTGTGGTGCTTCCGCCCTCTACCGCCTTGCAGGATGTGAAACCAGCCGTTTCCTGTGTCCAGTTGTTTGGGGAAGACAAAGTTCGATGCTGCACAAAAAGAATCGTCCCAAGTTCTTCCCTGTTTTGGTTTTTAACCGCGTCTTCCACGTGTCGCACTTATCAAGAAGCCTAGTAAGAAGCGTATGCACGTGGGAGTTCCCCCAAAAAACGATGGTGGACAGTGGCATGGTTACCTTCCCAGCTAGCTTTCGTCCCTTATGGCATGGCCTCAAGTCAGTTTCAACAGAATCTGGAAGACTGAGCCTTCCGAGCACGTAAAGCCTGTGCATCGTAGAATCAGACAGTTGACAGCAGGGACGCACCAGACTTCAATGGAGCAGTGTGCGTCCCTTTCCCCTGCAAAGTGCTTTCATATGTTTTCATGATCTGTGCCAAGGTCAAGACTAGTGCTGTGTCTCTATCTTAGGAGAGGTCCATACCTTCAATAGCCAGGCTTTACATACCCATGACGGATCATTACTAAGGGCTTGATGACCATGCGCTACACAACTGAACCATTCATATGTGACCTAGCAAACCGAAAGCGAACCGCAATTGGCCACAAGTGCTTGCAGAAGGCTCCTAAAAACTCTAGGATTCATTCCTTGTGTTTTACCATGCTGTAAGCCAGGCAGAAAACTCTGATAGCGACATGCCTGTGTGTAAGCCACGCTGGTGCAAGGTTCTGCAAATTTCCTTCGGTTTGCAACGTTTCAAATAGCGCTTTGTCATGAAAATGCATTCTTACACACTGCATTTATTCGCATTCCACAAAGACAAGCTCTGTTGGGTTGTTGAGCGCGACAAAGGCATGGGCAACCAAAGCCTTAGCTGTGATGCTCAGGGAAGGCAACAGACTTTTTGCAGGAGCATGCCTTGCAAACCTGAAATTTGTGTTGTATCGCCAATGTATCGCGCATTTTACATGTGCGAATGACATGTTGCCACAGAAGTCGCAAGGTGAATTTTGGTGCGACTCGTCCTTGCTGTTCACGGAAGAGAGTCTTTTTTTCCAAAGGCAGCCACGGTTGTGTTTCAATCTGTGGGTCTCTCAATTTTCTTGCCAGGCCCCAGCGGGAACTGCTTTTGGAACCTGCTGTTGGGTTGCAAAGGTGGGTCAACTTGAATTGGGATTTCAGCTTGTGATTTTTGCGGCTTTGTTGTTTCAAAACCAGCATGTTCAAACAGTCAAACCACACTCGCCGACCAACTTGGAATTGCCAAATTTCAAAAGCACTTCCGTCCCCGGGTCCTTCTGACAATCCATAGTTGGCAAGATGTTTTGAGGACTCGAGTGCGTGAGAGCCTCGGTATCCAGATTTTGTTCCCCATTGTCTCACCCCTCAGGCAGAAACGAAATCTTGCGCACCGCTCGTCGGTACGAGAGTCATGCGAACTTCAAAGGGTTAGGGTTGGCATAAAGTGATTACCGACCTGTTAGGTTGCCAGAACAAATCCTTGCGTGTTCTGGGCTGTGCTGCAAATAGACACACAGGCAAAGGGCGCATCAAGTCAAAAGATTATGTGCTACGTCGTGACATTGAAAAACACATGTGGTTCAAGCAAATGCGGTTCGGCAATGTTGGGCCGCAAACGGAATGGGACAGGCAGCTGGCAGGCAAGAACTGCAATCGCTGACCCTTGCCCGCATTAACCTAGCTTTGCAACCCAGCCGCAGGGTTCACCGCAGTTCAAGGGTTCCAGGTTGCCGTTACGATTGTCAGGGCCGACAAAAAACGGCCCACCCCCAACCCACCACTGTGCTGTTGGTAACAGCAAGAAAAAACAGCATGGTCTCCGCATTGTCAATATCGCAACTTTCCAAGCCATCATCATTGCGATCAAATGCAGCTGCGACGTTAAAGTCTCCAGCTTTGTGTGTTGTACTTTGTGTACTTTGCTTGGCTTGAAGTCTCCAGCTAGTCCAGCTGTTTGCCTTCAAAATTTCCGCTTAAACTAACCATCCCCGTCGCACAAGCTTCGCGAAAGCGGGTGATGGCAGATTAACAATCCACGACCCCATTGTGGCTCCTGCTTTCCCTGTTTTTGTCGTTGAATCGTGGCACGCATGTGGCGATTTTGGACCTACATTCATTTCGGGAAAATGGCGCGAAAACTCTGCAACAGTTGAACGAAAGCAGCAGGAATGCGGAGGTAGAGGTCCACATGCCCATTTTATTCTTGTATCTACAAACATCAGCAGCAACAATAAAAGGTGTAACAGTATAACTTCAGATGTCCTTTGAATATGGCGAAAGCCCTGCGAAAGAGAATCCTCACAAGAATGACTGCGCGAGAGCTTGGAGTGTGGTCGCGAAAGCCGTTGGCGAGGTGTCACTGGTGTTACAAGTTAGATGCTGCATTGGTCTCGTTGGTTACGCCGCAGTTGCTCACGTTGGTATCTGAAACAAAGAGTTTGGCTGTCTGGTGACTAAATTCAGAGAAGCATCAATGGAAGGGAACTGACACTCCCTGTCAAGAAAGAAAGCGAAAACTGATACCTCTGACATCCTTCAGCCGCTCTGCGCACATCCAGTGATCGATGACAAATGAAATCGCCAGGAATGAAACGGCAAACATTGCGCCCTCCATGTAGCCTGGTAGCCTGGTAGCCTGGTAGCAAGTCCTTGTGGAGCCAAAGCCAGTCTTTATCGCTTTCAGATTGAAGGCTGATACACTCAGTTTCGGGTTCAGAAGGCAGATCTTGGTTTGCCATGAAATAGCTTTGTCCAGTCCAGATTCCCAACTACATTTGGGAGCTCATGGTGCCTTTCCAGATATTCACCTGACACATCCACATGCAGAGTTCCAAGTCAGTGGTGGCCAGTGCCACCAACGAAGTCACTTCAGCTCGGTCAATGGTTTGATTTGTCCCATGAAGTGGTTTGGTGATGTTTGGTTATCACTTGTCCCTAGCGGCATAGACCCCAGGCAACATTCAAAATCTGATACTTACCATTGAAACTTTCAATCCATCCGAAAAGACACCTGATGAAAACCAGTTTGGGGTGGAGGAACTCGAAAAAGTTTTGCCATCTTCCTCCGGTTGGCATAAGAGCTTCCGCCAATTCACCAGGCATTGGCGGGGCTTTATCTAGGAGGCTTCTCCCTTCAGAGTTACAGCACTTGCAGCTTTTGAGGTGGGAATTACCGAATCTGTTTTCACCCTTGAGCAGAAAGTTCAAAGTGCTCAATGACCGCGGCAACTTCCGTGGGCCCAAAGATGTCACTTTAGATGCCGCGTTGGTGGCGCATGGTTACGCTGCATGTGCTCGCGCACTTGCTCAGCCAGGTGCACGACTTCAGGCCGGCCACCTGTTCCCACTTTCGCAAGAGTATAGAATGCCTTTCACGGTGGAAATCTGCGAGGCTGAAAGAGCGTAGGAAGCAAACTCCAGATGCATGGATGCACGGCCAAGCTGACAAGTGGCTTGCCAGCTGGAGTTTGGGACATAACACTCTTTTTGGCTTCTGCAGTTAGCGTCGGCGCGAAAGAGCGTTGGAAACAAACTTCAGATGCGCTGCTAAGCTGACAAGTGGCTTGCAGCCCGTTGGAGTTTGGGACATAACATTTTTTTTGCTTTCTGCAGCAAAAAGTGTAAGTGCCCGAAGCTTTTCATGGTTGTCTTGGGGTTGCAGATCAACATGGTAAGAACACATGTGGAATTCATGGACTTGGGTCGAACATATTAGGGAATCTGCAGGATTGCCAACACAAGTTTCGGATTGTTGGACACCTTTCTCCCACGAGAGTGCAATTTTTTTGCTGCCCTGGGGTTGCACGACCGCAGTTTCTGCCACCGAAAGCCACGGCGGATATGGGATGAGGTTTTTGGACCAGGTGTTTCCCCACAAAAAATACAGTTTGAACCATGCTTAATATGGACAAAACAGACACAATACAAGTGTGACATGGGTCAAAACAGGTTGAAACCGATAATCGGCACAACATCAAACAGTTGGCCATTTGGAGGATGACGCCATGTGTCCAGTTTCTCCCCCGATTTCTCCCGTCGAGTGACTTCGAAGTCTTTCGTAAGCCAGCAAGGAGGTGCTAAAACTATGCTGATGAACCGATTCCGTTCGCTGACCATGGGAAACTTATGGCCGGATGATGGATTCTGTTTTTGTTGGTGTTAAGTTGTGCAGTTTTCATAGCAGATGCTGCCATACAGCAAGTTGAATGTTCATGGAATTCGTGGATGTGAGTCATGTGAGTATCTAAAACTTGACGGTCGGATCGAAGCGAAATCCTTATCCATGCACCAAAAGGACAGCAAGGCCAGTGGCAAGCGCGCTAAAAACAGCCTCCGAGGCCGATCAGAATGCAGAAATTGCCCTCTGGTGCCGATATTTGAGATTGGAATGATAAACATATGGCTCATCATGGTTGGCTTTGCATGAGTTTGTAGCAAGATGCCTCGCAACAGTAAGATTTCGTTGGACAGTTCGGCTTCGGACATCATGAACTGAAACTCAGCGCAAGCAGTTGCTATTACGATGATTTGCACCGGATGATGACCAAAGGCAAGTAGATATGTATATATGATCTATATATATATGTATGAAATAGAGGTACACTTTTCTGATGGGATGTTGTTGTAGTTGTAATTGTAGTGTAGTGTAGTTAGCGTAGCGTAATTAGTGTAGTGGAGTGTAGTGTAATGTAGTGGAGCGTAGTGTAGTGTAATGTAGTTGTAGTTGTAGCTGTAGCCGGAAGTTGTAGACCTCAAACGGTCATTTACCTTCCTCCCTCTCGAAGCTGAAACGTCAGGGGAAGATGTGTAAAGTGGTCATCTGCAGCCCAAGTTGTGGTGAGGCGCCCGTATGTACGTAGGTGTAGCCATGCTTAGTTATTTTGTAGATAGTTTTGATTCAGCGTTGGCAAAGCGCAAGCAATGAAATTGCCCTTGCAGCCCGTGTCTGTAGCTTGCTACGAGAAGTCTTTTTGTGCTTTGCATACCGTCAGAATCTCCACGAAAACTCACACGGGTCATTTTGTGTGTTGGAGGTTCTCTGGCTCTATATGCAATGCGATGGCTGTGGCAGGCGAGCGGCCGTTGCAGGACTTGCCTTCCAGAAAGCGCTTCGACAAGCGACTTGGCCGTAGGGGTGAGGAGATAAATACAGGTGAAACACATGATTTCTTAGACCCAAAGATGAAAAGTGCAGCGGTAGAACACACACACAAGTGTGAGCAACCCACAGGCAGTGCCGAAGTTTTGACCAGTATTCAGCGTGCAATTTGTCGGCAGAGACAAGAAGGTTCATGCAAGGAGCCGCTTTCCAACTCTGGATGAAGGTGCTGTGATGTGATCGACTGACATGTTTTTGTCTCAGCATGCCATCACAGCATGCCATGACACACCTATTGTGTCACCACTGCTAGTTGGCCTGAAGGTGTGGTTGGTATTTGGTTTGCAATTTCGTGTGCCCCAGTGGAGGGTTGAAAGCCTCATTTGTGTTCTAAAAAACAGAACTTTGGAGGGACATCGTGGGACGTAATAGAGCATTTTCACAGTGACGAGTCTGTGGGTGTAACTGGCTTGTCCTTGTTCATTTTCTTCCCTAATTATGTTGGTGCAATCTGGGTCTGGTCGGACTTGCACTCTTGTAACCTGTTGTTCCCTGATCTTTCAGGGGCATGGTGGTTGACGCTCCAATAGAATCTGTTTGATTTGTGATGCCAAGGTGGAAAGTGCTGCTCCACTGGCTGACGATGCTGGCTGCCAAGTTGCTTCACAACTGGCACAAACTTGCTTGTTGGACACATGTGCTCGATTCAATTTGGGAATGAACTGAATCTGTAAAGCAGGGAACGCTTAGATATGCCACGGATACACTTTGCACTCGGTTCTCTTTTCTTTCTGTGTTTGTTTCGCCGATCTCCCGGAAAGATATAGAGTCATCCACTGTCCAACTCGAACACTCAGTAGTGATCCAAAGGAGAGGAAGCTGCAGATGTCGTTTCAGAGCCAGTGGTGCGGGCGGGATGGTGCCATGATGTGCCATTTTTTTGTGTGTGGTCCGAATCGTTTTTGACCAACTGGAGGTCATAGATTGTGAGGTGATGCCTGCCGAAGAAGTCTCACAGGGACCCTGATGATCCTGATGATGATGATGATGATGATGATGATGATGATGATGGCCTGGCTTGCACCTTAGGGTTCCGTGCCCGATTGATTGCCTTCTGCACAGCAACATTTGCGGATGTCGACCTCAGATGGTTTCCATGTGCCTGAGGCCCAAGTGACCGACCACGCCGCGCCCTTGGCACCGTCGAAGCCACGGGTGGATTCTCAATGGACTTGGGGTACTGGAGTGGCAACCTTAAGTTGGCGTCCCTATCAGTTGAGACGCATGCAAAAGGACTAGCACCAGTGACTCAACGGATGACGTAGGTAGATTTCACCTGTATTCAGATAAGTTGATGACAGCATATTACAACTATTTTGATTGCAATTTGTATGAGTCCGCGGTGTTCAAAGCTGCAAACAACACATGCACAGTAGCTCAGTAGCTAAAGCCACTGTTTCATGGCCATATGGGGTTTTACCATCACCGCATCACCATTAACCAACGCAACCAACCCCAACATCCCAAATATCCCAAAACCAATCCACAGAATGTGGACTTTTCTTCCTTGCTGCCGTGTATTTTCCCGCAGTTTGGTGCATTTGGGTGCCATGTTCGGAATTGCCGCAGCAAAGGCCAATTTCAGTGAGGTGATCACTGAACAACTTGGAAGCTGGCGTCCTTGGTTGGTCTTTTTACTGGGGATCTTTGGGATTTTGTCCCATATGCAGGTCTTTGTGCTGGCCTGGGGCACCACCTTCTATGTGGTACCTCTATATCTCTTCTTGCACCTCTGTCTGGCAACTTGGGTTTCGAATCTCAGATTTCTGCAGTTGTTGGAATCGCCCCTCTGGTGGTTTTTCCCACCGGGCAGCAGCCATCTGCTGGAGGTCCAGCGGCCGAAGGTGCAATGCTTCCGGTGGCTCAGCCTGGGGCTGCGACTGGCGGCGGCAGCAGTACCTGTGATACTGGTGGTGGTGCCCATGGCCGAGGGCATAGAGTTTCACTTCGTTCGGGCTGAGTGTGAGAGCAGCCATCACTGTGAGGAGCTTCCCCCATGGCTGAAGCAACCCTGGTGGTCCAACGCAACATGCTCAGTGAAACCCAGCTGGTACAATCGATGCTTGGAAGAGCAACCTTTCTATTTACGTGGCTGGTGCAACTTTTTGGCCGGAAACTGCTACCTCCGTGACTTGCCACACTGGTTGGTGAACGGTGCTCTTGGGCCCCTCTTCTTCTGCCCCATGGTCACTACCTTAGCCTCGGTACTGCTGGAGATTATGCTGTGCTGCAAATCTGAAACCTTGGACTTGGACCAACACATGCCGCGAAAGGAGATGAAACAAGACCTGGAGGTGACTTCCAAAGCGAAGTTTCGCTTTCTCATGGTTATTCTTTTGCCCTTTTTGCTGGATGTTCTTTCCGACATCAATGGCATTATGCAGTTCATCCGCACCGGAAATCTGTGGTTCGCCGCAGTTTCCACTAGCATCTTCGTGTTCTCAGGATGGCAGCAAGTTCGTCGTGGAGCTTTACAGAGGGTGCTGCGGGCCTCTGTAGAATCGTTCCAGCATGGAAAGGCAAGTGATGAGTTGGAGTTGATTCTTCTTTCGGAGAAATCGGTGGAGGCACCTTTGCAACTTTACTTATCTTACTATTCATTCCCTTTCATCACATCTTCACAGTTTGCAATCTATTCTTTTTTCTTCTCAATGAGTCTCAGTGTGAAATCCTTGGCGGAAGCTGCCTATTTTTTGGTTGAGCTGAATCTCTCTCCGACCATCATGGCCGTGGATGGTGAAGCCATTGAAGCCATGACTCCTAGAGGCGCTATTTGTGAAGATTCATCCGACAGATCCGACAGCTCTCCTGAAGGATGAAGAGATGGTGTGACTGGTGTGACTGGTGTGACGTTGTCAACGATCAACGAGCCTGAATAAACTTGAATAAACCTTGACCGCTGCGAAGACCTGGCTGAGCTGCTGAGTCTGCTGAGTTGACGTGCTGCGGACTATAGAAAGAAGCACAAGTTTCGCTTTACAGTGGCATCATCCAGTGCGCTTCAACACGCTTTGGGCATCTTCAGCTTTGCGACAAATCAGTGAACCAAAACTGGAACTTCCAAGGGGAGAAGCTGCGACGAACTTTATGCAGTTCCTGTATGTTCCTTTGAAATCCACAAGAAATTTATGCGCAACTCACCTGGTGATGTGACTCGCTGGCAGCCCTGTCAGTTTCGCTTCCTCGGCGATGAAAAAGGGGCGACTTCGGCCGCAAAGCGGTTGCCATAGGTTGCGGTCCTGTCTCTGACATGTTGGTGATATTTGGTGATGTTGCTGGTGTATCACCGCCACGTCAGCGACGTCAGCGACGTCAGCTTTCAGCCGTGAAGGGTACCGAAGCATGCCAGGTCCGTCCAGGTCATTGGCATTTCCTGGTCGAGCTGAGTCCTTGGTCGGCTGAATTTTGAGGTGTGGGATGTGATTGTCGGGTGATATGAGATACGAAGTTTTTTATTCGACTTTCGACGCCTTGCTTCAGTGCCTATTTTCAGAGATCACTAACATTTTCTGCAGTTGATTGAATCAGATACCTTCCCAACATGTGACGGGGCATATGAAGCCCATCAGAATCTGTTTTGTTTGCAGAGACCGGATTTCTTGTACCTTTCATGTACCTTGCCCTGCTTATGAGCCTTGGTGGAGGGCGGGGGGTCGCTTGTACCTCCAGATTTGGGTCGCTTGTACCTCCAAATTTGGATCGATTGTAACTCCACAATTGGGATGCATGACTTTATTCATATGTGCCACAGGATGACATGGGCATTGACAGAGGATGATTTTTTAGAGAAAGGAACGACATAGTTGGTTGAGGGCGAGCACTCATCTGTGCACCCCGAATTTTCCTCATCTGTGCACCCCACATTTTCCTCATCTGTGCACCCTATGGTCTCTATGCGGTTTCCATGGTTTCTATACCGCGTCTCTGGTTTCCATGGTTTCTATGGTTTCTATGGTTTCCATGGTCTCTATGGTTTGTATACTTTCTCCGGTTTCCATGGTTTCCATGGTTTCTATGGTTTCCATGGTTTGTATTGGCTTTGTGCGTTTCCATAGTTTCTATGCGGTTTCCATGGTTTCTCTATGCGGTTTCCACGGTTTCTATAATGCGTCTCCAGTTTCCATGGTTTCCATGGTTTCCATGGTTTCCATGGTTTGTATTGGCTTTGTGCGGTTTCCATAGTTTCTATGCGGTTTCCATGGTTTCTCTATGCGGTTTCCACGGTTTCTATAATGCGTCTCCAGTTTCCATGGTTTCCATGGTTTCCATATATTTTGTAGTGGCTTTGTGCGGTTTCCATGGTTTCCATGGTTTCCATGCAGTTTCCATAGTTTCTATACTGCGTCTCCGGTTTCCATGGTTTCCATGGTTTCTATGGTTTTTATTGGTTTTGTGAGGGTTCCATGGTTTCCATGGTTTCTATGCAGTTTCCATAGTTTCTATACTGCGTCTCCGGTTTCCATGGTTTCCATGGTTTCCATGGTTTCTATGGTTTTTATTGGTTTTGTGAGGGTTCCATGGTTTCCATGGTTTCTATGCGGTTTCCATGGTTTCTATACGGCGTCTCCGGTTTCTATGGTTTCTATCGTTTCTATGCGGTTTCTATGGTTGCTATAATTTTTCTCCGGTTTCCATGGGTTCCATGGTTTCTATGGTTTCCAGTGGCTTTGTGCGGTTTACCTGGTTTCTTTGGTTTCTATGCGGTGTCCGCGGTTTCGATAATGCATCGCCGGTGTCGATGCTTCTCATGGGACGAGCACTCGTCTGTGCCTCCAAGATTTTCCTCGTCTGTGCCACTTGTGCCTATGTACTTCTCTCTTGGTACGCATTGCGGGGGGAGGCGCTGCGCTTTTATTTTTTATTCTTTAATGGGCTTCCCTTGCTACCTACACACTTTCCTTTTTTCATAAGCATCATCGGTTACCCTTGCTACCTGCACCCTTTCCTTTTCTCATAAGCATCATCGGTTATTTGGGTTCATTTTATCTTTATTGATATCCATCGCCACTTGTGCCTATGTACTTCTCTCTTGGTACACATTGCGGGGGGAGGCGCTGCGCTTTTATTTTTTATTCTTTAATGGGCTTCCCTTGCTACCTACACACTTTCCTTTTTTCATAAGCATCATCGGTTACCCTTGCTACCTGCACCCTTTCCTTTTCTCATAAGCATCATCGGTTATTTGGGTTCATTTTATCTTTATTGATATCCATCGCCACTTGTGCCTATGTACTTCTTTCTTGGTACGCATTGCGGGGGGAGGCGCGCTTTTATTTTTCTTTAATGGGCTTCCCTTGCTACCTACACACTTTCCTTTTTTCATAAGCATCATCGGTTACCCTTGCTACCTGCACCCTTTCCTTTTCTCATAAGCATCATCGGTTATTTGGGTTCATTTTATCTTTATTGATATCCATCGCCACTTGTGCCTATGTACTTCTCTCTTGGTACGCATTGCGGGGGGAGGCGCTGCGCTTTTATTTTTTATTCTTTAATGGGCTTCCCTTGCTACCTACACACTTTCCTTTTTTCATAAGCATCATCGGTTACCCTTGCTACCTGCACCCTTTCCTTTTCTCATAAGCATCATCGGTTATTTGGGTTCATTTTATCTTTATTGATATCCATCGCCACTTGTGCCTATGTACTTCTCTCTTGGTACGCATTGCGGGGGGAGGCGCTGCGCTTTTATTTCTTTAATGGGCTTCCCTTGCTACCTACACCCTTTCCTTTTTCTCATAAGCATCATCGGTTATTTGGGTTCATTTTATCTTTATTGATATCCATCGCCACTTGTGCCTATGTACTTCTCTCTTGGTACGCATTGCGGGGGGAGGCGCTGCGCTTTTATTTTTTATTCTTTAATGGGCTTCCCTTGCTACCTACACACTTTCCTTTTTTCATAAGCATCATCGGTTACCCTTGCTACCTGCACCCTTTCCTTTTCTCATAAGCATCATCGGTTATTTGGGTTCATTTTATCTTTATTGATATCCATCGCCACTTGTGCCTATGTACTTCTCTCTTGGTACACATTGCGGGGGGAGGCGCTGCGCTTTTATTTTTTATTCTTTAATGGGCTTCCCTTGCTACCTACACACTTTCCTTTTTTCATAAGCATCATCGGTTACCCTTGCTACCTGCACCCTTTCCTTTTCTCATAAGCATCATCGGTTATTTGGGTTCATTTTATCTTTATTGATATCCATCGCCACTTGTGCCTATGTACTTCTTTCTTGGTACGCATTGCGGGGGGAGGCGCCGCGCCCTCCCCCCTGCACCCCCCCACCCGCTTTTATTTTTTAATGGGCTTCCCTTGCTACCTACACACTTTCTTTTTTTCATAAGCATCATCGGTTACCCTTGCTACCTGCACCCTTTCCTTTTCTCATAAGCATCATCGGTTATTTGGGTTCATTTTATCTTTATTGATATCCATCGCCACTTGTGCCTATGTGCTTCTTTCTTAGTACGCATTGCGGGGGGAGGCGCTGCGCCCTCCCCCCTGCACCCCCCCAACCGCTTTTATTTTTTAATGGGCTTCCTTTGCTACCTACATCCTTTCCTTTTTTCATAAGCATCATCGGTGATTTGGGTTCAGTTTATCTTTATTGATATCCATCGCCACTTGTGCCTATGTACTTCTTTCTTGGTGCGCATTCGGGGGGAGGCGCTGCGCCCTCCCCTCTGCACCACCCCACCCGCCTTTATTTTTTAATGGGCTTCCTTTTTACCTACACTCTTTCCTTTTCTCATAAGCATCATCGGTTATTTGGGTTCATTTTATCTTTATTGATATCCATCGCCACTTGTGCCTATGTACTTCTTTCTCCTCCCCCCTGCACCCCCCCACCCGCTTTTTTTTTTTAATGGGCTTCCCTTGCTACCTACACTCTTTCCTTTTTTCATAAGCATCATCGGTTATTTGGGTTCATTTTATCTTTGTTGATATCCATCGCCACTTGTGCCTATGTACTTCTTTCTTGGTACGCATTGCGGGGGGAGGCGCCGCGCCCTTGTTTTTGTTTCGACCTAATACCTACATAGGTACATGCATGAGTATTGAGCACATTTATATGCGCCCTTCAAGGCTCAAGAGGTATATAGAGTAACCCTGTAGACAAGCACGGACCGGCAACAGGCTGAGTAAAACAAGTGCTGTCATTGGGGAAGACGCCTTAGCTGATCTTGAAGTAGACGCTAGGGCCCCTCTTCAAGTGGTAGCGGAGCAGTGATCCCTCATTGAGGGTGAGCTCCAGGTTGAGCCCAAGCAATGGCAAGCCATGGCTATGATGATGATGACTTCGACATTGTCGATGCAAATGAATGGAACCAATATGACTCTTATGCAATGAGAAGAGCACCCCAGCAAACACAGATTCATATGACGCAACAGATGACCACAAAGGTTGCTCCAGCCTATGATGGGCGAACCAGCTTCTTTGCTTTTGAGGATGCAATTGATGACTGGTGTGACATTACGGAGTTAGAACCAGAGAAACGTGGTCCAGCATTGCGCAACAGACTGGAAGGAGATGCTCAACAATACAAGAGGCTATTGGATAGAGAATTACTCAGGGATCCCTATGAAGGAGTGGCTTATTTCAAAAGATTTCTACGACCTCATTTCATCAAAGGTGCCCAGAACGTGTTCTTATACCGTTTCATGCAGTTCATGAAGTTCAACAGAGGAACCATGGATCTTCAGAAGTGGATGACTAGATTTCAACTCACTGGCAATAGACTTATTGAGTCTTGGATGGATTTGCTTCCAGAAGTAACAGTGACTAGTCCTGAAGCAATCCATGAACGAGTCAACAAGAGAGAGCTGAAGTAGCAGCAGCCTCAGGAACACCCCATGTAGCTGTTCCTTGGACAGATGAACTGGCACTAGCGGCATTCAGACAATTTCAGGAAAATCGTAGAGAAGCACAGCGACAAGCATTCCCACTGGGTGAAAATTTGCTAGCATTGATTTTTGTAAGTCTAGCTGACCTGAGTCAAGATCAGAGAAACACACTCACAAGTATCATGACACATCGTGGACGAACCCTCGATCGATACAGTATTCAAGAACTACGTGACCTGTTTCTGGAAATGTTTTGCACTACCAAAACAGCAGTTGACAATCCATTGATGCAACCCTCTGGCATGGCACAGAGAAGATCTTTCCTCGTACTGGATGAAGGTGAATTAG